GAACTTTTCGAGAATAGCTCTCTAGTCATATTTTATATTTTATTACTTTTTTGCTCGTCATTAATTTGTAGTTGTAATTGGAGATGATGGATCATTCCATCTCCTTGGGACACCAAATTCGTGTCTATATCGTCCAAAAGATGCATATGTGTTAGTTAGAGTCAAAAATATTAAAATTTTCGTAATATTAAATTTTGAAGCTTAAATAACGTTCGGTAAATATTACAATAATTTCTTTTTTCTTTTTTCGTCTTTATAGTTTTTCATTTTGATCGTATTTTATTAAATTTGCAATTTTTCTTTTCTATATAATGTAGCTTAAGAGTATTTCATAATAATTAATAGATATTATTTTTTGTAGTAACTTAATATWTGTACTTTTCCTATTTCTTTATTTTTACATATTTTATGTAAATGTAAAATCACGCGTTTAAATTTAATTTCATTAAAACGGTAAATATAGAGATTTGATAAAAATAAATAAAAAACTCAGTTGAAAAGTGCATCTACAATTTGGACGATTTGTATGTTAGGCTATTGTATCACTTGATTGTATGATTAATATAGTTTTCTTCTTGTTACAGGTGATCATCGTTGGATTTATCATCTACTCGTTTTAATTTTCTTCTACTTTTGTTTAAAATATATATGTATAAAAAACGCATTTCTGAAAACACACACACACGTATTTAGACACTAAAAAATAAATATAATTATTTTAAATTTTCTTACAATATATCTATACTATATGTATTATCAAAGAATATTGTATTCTTGTATCAAAGACAATATTCTTTGATAGTTTGTACCGTCGTCGCGTTAAGTACATACTATCGCCCACTGGTGATCGTGGTAGTAACTAAAATGAAACTGGGTAGATAAAAAAGGGGACTTGTGAGTTTCTATGAGGTAAAAAGTTTGACTAAAATCTCTAGTGACTTCTTTGGAAATGAATGACCTACAAGAAAATAAGCCCATGGCATTTGTAATGCACCTCTTTCCATTGATTTCTAACTAATCAAAAAAAAGAACTAGACGATGGAAGCGCCATGATGTGTACATTTCAATTTGAATTCCCTATTGCCTGGTGTAAAGATCGTTTTCTAACCGTTAAACTGAATTGTAGTTTCGATTTGTGATTGTTATAAGTGTTTAATTATTCTAATGTTAAAAATTATACATTATTAATATTGTAAATCGTATTATTAACAATGAAGGTAAAGATTTTATCAAGAAATCCGGATGAATATTTACGAGAAACCAAACGCGATATTCACAAACGTAAGTATCATTTGTGAATATAACCTCAAAAATAGTATGCATAAGGCATGTAGAGAAAATTAATAAATGAATTTTTTGAATGTTTAGTTCCTAGGAATTATGATCCATCGTTACATCCTTTCGAAGTACCAAGAGAATATACTAGAGCTTTAAATGCCGTTAAATTGGATAGAGTTTTTGCAAAACCTTTCATAGGTTGCTTAGACGGCCATAAGGATGGTGTAGCAGCTGTTTGCAAACATCCTTCGCGTTTATCGGTTCTTCTTAGTGGTGCCTATGATGGAGAATTGAAAGTATGGAATTTAGCTACTAGAACAGCGGAACGATCTTTCAAAGCTCACGATGGCATACTTCGTGGTATTACATTTACTCCGAATGGATCACACTTCATGACGATAGGTGACGATAAAACTATAAAGACATGGAAAGTTGAGAATCCATTGTTCGGTGAAGAAGAAGAACCTGTTAATACCATTATTAGTAAAGTAAATAATTACAATTTATTTCGATTCACTATACTTCGTTATTGTTATTACACCAACGAAATTAATTATAGTCCCAGTTGACTGGTATATCACATCATCGAAAAGATCCAATTTTTGCTACTTGTGGAGATACGTGCCAACTTTGGGAAGAGACAAGGAATGAACCGATACGTACTTTCAAATGGGGTGTTGACAGTTTACACGATGTCAAGTATAATCCAGTAGAAAAAAATTTGTTAGGTGAGAAAATAGTAATATATATTTGCTACAAATCTAATGGAATATATCTAAAATAATATTATTTCATAATTTTCTAGCTGCTTGTTCTAGTGATCGTAGTATTATTTTATATGATGCTAGGGAAACCGGTCCATTACGAAAAATTGTCATGAGATTACAAACAAACAAACTTTCTTGGAATCCTATGGAAGCCATTACCTTCACATGTGCTAATGAAGATTATAAGTGAGTTTCTATTGAAATAGACAATTTGTTTAAATGCGTTATACTTATATGCTAATATTTTTCTTTAATTTCTTTTCTAGCTTATATACTTACGATATTCGTTCATTAAAAAGTCCAGTTAATGTACATATGGATCACGTAGCTGCAGTAATAGACGTAGATTACGCTCCTACTGGTAAAGAATTTGTTTCTGGTAGTTACGACAAATCAATTCGTATTTTCGAAGTTAATAAAGGACATTCGCGAGAAGTTTATCACTCGAAACGAATGCAAAGGCTCACGAACGTGGCTTGGTCTTTCGATAATAAATATATAATTAGTGCTAGCGATGAAATGAATCTTCGAGTATGGAAAGCTAGGGCGTCAGAAAAATTGGGCGTGGTATGTAACGATTATCTCTTATAATTTTTTTTTATTGTTTCAATATAATCTCTCATTATCTGTGATCTTTATTTTTTAAACGATAGCTCAAACCCAGGGAAAAAGCGTCATTGAATTATTCCAATGCGTTAAAAGAGAAATTTGCGGCTCATCCACAAGTGCGTCGTATTGCTAGGCATAGACAAGTACCGAAACATATTTATAACGCTCAAGCTGAGATACGAACGCTTCGTGAAAAGAGTAAACGAAAGTATGTTATTAAAAAATTCCAAAGTTTTCTTCCTATTTTTATTCTTAATGGAATAAAACAATATTTTATTTTTTGTTATTGTATTATAGGGAAGCTAATAGACGTGCTCATTCAAAGAAAGGAGCAGTACCATTTGTGCCGGAAAGACAAAAGCATATTGTACGACAGGATGAATAAGGTATATGATTATTTTCTCCTACGATTTGTATCAATAAAATATAACGATAATGCAAAGTGTTATTTTTTATTTTATATATTCTTTTTAGAAAATATATTTAAATTGTCTTATAATTGTAATCGAGAATAGAGAAAGAATTTTTAGGGATATGGTTTATTTTATATTTTTTGAACTTCACATTATTTATTGCAATAAATAATTTTATTGAAATTATACAACGCATTGCTATAATGATCCGTAAATCATTACAAATCTTAAGCATCGATTAATGTCTTGCTTAGTGTAGCTTACAGCGGTTTAATGATTTTTCTCGATCGTTCGTGCGATTCTTTCGCGAATATTTCAATGTTATTGATCAATTGGCGATAAGTAGGTCATATATATTTATGCATATATATTATTTTCGTTCATCGAAACTTGTTTTCTTGTTTGTAAGTAAAAAAGAATTACGAAGAACAAATAAAACGGAAACATTATCTCAATATATTTTTCGTTCATTTTTTACGTGTCAGGTCTCGTCGTGGAATTTATGAATTCAATGCTAAATTAAACGAATAATTTCGAATTATAAATTCGTTCGAACGATTGGATAAACTAAGTGTTAGATATTCGAATGAGATTATTTCTTTTTATTCAACCATAGTTCCGATAATGTATATAATGAACGTTGTTTTATTACAGACAATTATCTCATATGCCATACTATATTCGCTCTTACAATTATTATAGTTATCGTTTCAGTACTCGTTGATGATCGATACAAATGGAATTGAGTTCCTTTTTATTCTGGCGTACAAAAGATGGCACGCAATTTCGCTTTTACTTATTTTTTATTAATCTTAATCCTCTCCTTTCCTTTTTCTTGTATTTTTTTTATCGGTCGATATCACACGTGCGCAATTATATATTTATAATAACACTAGCTACGCTCACAACTTCTGTACAAGACTAGGTTAGTCGAGCGATTAAAATAGCACTATAATTGTGTCCTTCGATTCTAAAAATGTTTCGTTTTTTATTTATTTATTTTTTATTTAATTTACTTTGCTTTTCTCTTTTCTTTTCCCGAACTACTTCGCGACTTACTCCCTTTTCGTGTATCTTATTTTCTTCTTTTCTCTTTCTCTCTCGTTGCTCTCACTTTGACTCTTTAATTAATTAAATTATAAGCTGCTTTGCGTAACGATAATTATCATCTATATACATATAAACACATTTACATTCATTTGATAACGTACTATCGAGCCGCACGAACATCAATATGGCATTAATACCGAGCCACTTTCCGGTCAATATCGAACTCACCGTTTATTTAATTTCATATTCCTCTTCTTCTTTTTTTCTTCCTTTTTATTTTATTTTTTTTTTTTTTTTGTATAATATATATATTTATATATTAAAGGGAACACTCGAGTATGTTATCAAGTTACACACATCCATACATTATTATTAACTTATTACAAGTTATTCCAGTAGTCCGACAACAATCTTTCATATTCTCGTTTTCTCCTAAAGCGTACATCGTCTAGCTTGACTTTGATCGATATTCGAAATGTACTTTTTGATTATAACGTTTGTTCGATCGTTGAGCCTGCTTCGATGAAGAAAGAACAAACTAAGAAATATATGTATGATATTTAAAATAAAAACGATTTTGACGTTCGAATTAAACGTTAAATTTTTAACCAAAATTAAAAGGAAATGAAATTAACGAGAAAAGCTTTGACCGAAATCGTTAATTTGTCAGACTTTATCACTTTTATATTGTCGAGAAAATTTCTCTTTGAAGTTTCATCGATCGAGGCAGACTCTACGACAAAATTACTTTCGAAGCGCACAATAGCAACCAACAACGTGTTCTCTCTCTCTCTCTCTCTCTCGCTCTCTTTTATTTTCCTCGCGTGCGCGCATCGATTGACTTTAGATTCGCACACAATTTTCTGTGTTATTCGCTTAAATTATTTATAGTCGTATAGATTTCATCACTATCGACAAACTTAAAACGTAATATTCAATCGTAAAGAAAAATGTTCACAATTAAATATGGTTCAAATCACGTCACGATGTCATTTATCTTCGTAATACTAATCTACTTTCATTGCGATATCACGTAGAATATTTATTTTTATTTTCATGGTTTTATCGTCTTCACAGGTAAACACAGTTAATAGATATCGTTCCTTACGATCCCGATTAAATACCGTAGGTTTTATTTCTTACTATTCTTTCTGTACATAGACTTGTGCGAGTATTTTGTCCTCATAAACTCGTTCGTTTGAAAGGTCGACTCACGATGTCCATCCTCCGACGTTATTATGAAACACGGTCACGTAATGCATGTTTCTCTATCTTCCTCTCTCTCTCTCTCTCTCTCTCTCTCTCTCTCTCTCTCTCTCTCTCTCTCTCTTTATTTCTTTCTTTCTTTCTTTATTTGTCTTTCTAGACGTTCAGATCGGCCATCATTTTGCGAAAATCCGCGAGCGTGTTGTAATCCGGATCCGAGTCGATGTCCGCGAAATCCTTGTTCGAGTCGCTCTTCACGAAGCTGGGATTGTATCGGCTTAACGACAGTGGACACGGCAACAACTCTGGCATTACGGAATGGTGGGTTATCAGGGCTGTCAGCGTCGTGAATTCTTTCGTAAAGCCCTGCAACAGACACGAAACGATGCTTTGTCTTTTACTCTTTAATACATTCATGGTACATTGTTGCACTCGTATGGAAGCCGAGTGATAAGGCTATTTTCGTGTACATACATAAATACACATATATACATGCATATGTATAAATATGCACGATGTTTTACATTGTTGTAATACTACACGTACCAGTTGATGAAAATAAACTGTTTTGTCATATTAATTTGCCTTTCGTTTTTAAACACGTAGGCACATATTTGTTTAACGAATTTATTTTGATTCCTATTTTATCGAGAGTTTTAATTTAATTAAATATTGTATTATACATATACTACTGTCAAAAAGTTTAAAATCATTTGCTGATTTCCGTAAAAATAGGATATATTGATAATTTTTGAAATGTGATCTAACGTTATTATATTAAATATTAACGTTTTAAAAAAATTCAGTATTTTCTTCTATCTCTACCTCTGAAGTTGTGCCTACACAGTTTGGGGAATACAATGTACATCGATATTAATTTTAATTTAACTTTTATCTCTCTCATTTTTTGTTGTATTTATTTTAACAAACTCTTTCATGTAACAAAGTGTAAACGTTAAAGCGAAATATCTGTCTCTTTCTCTTTGTACAAGAAAGTCAAGAGAGGATTTACCTTATTTACCTAACAGTACTGGAGGGTAGTTAATCGTTATCGCGGGATACGATGGGCATATATCGTTCATGTGTGTCAAAATTATTAGGAGAAAGGTATACATTCGGTTCTCGCGACGTGTTTCTACGAGAATGCAATTTCACGGAGAAAGAGAAGGGAGAGAGTTTTGATTTCCCCGCGGTACATCCAACAAAACTCATTCATACTGGTTTCGGGGATTATCAAAGTCCGCAGACCCATTTAATTTATCCCTACAAGGGAAGTTCGACCATTTAAATAGGGATATTCGAGTGAGAAAACATGCGAGAGAGAACCGCGATGATTTTGTTGTTCTTCTATGCCATCCCTATTATAATATTTATAAAATTGAGAACATTAATGCACGTTAATAACTTGCAAATAATTTTGGTTATTCGTTTGCTCCAAAATAATTACTTTGAATATCGTTAAATATTTATCTACGTATGCATTTACTTTCTTTTTTTTTTTTTTTTGAAAAATTATTTGGGTCAATCGAGCGTTAAAAAAAAGGTATACAAAAAGAAAGAAAGGGCTTGGAAAAAAGAAATATATCCAGTGTATTCGTTGACGTCATCTTGTTTACGAATTCATTTCTAAGGATTTGCGTGGGCGAACGATTCAATGGTTCCCTTCGTTTTTCAAACCAGCGACAAAATGGCGACTACTCGCGAATAAACTACTATTGAACGAACAAGGGCAGCTAGAACCTTTTTTGTATAAATTATGTAGGCCAAAGTCGTGTAGATTCTTTTTTAGAAATGTAAATGCGTCGACATTCATTGAAGTATCGTATATATATGTATATGTCTATTTTCCGTTTATGTATATACATATATACACGTGTAAGTGCGTCATCAGAGAATTCTATATACGAAGTGATGGTTCATTATCGTTCTTTCTCCTTTTATTTTTCTCTTTCTCTTTCCAAAAGTGGTTTTAACGTAGTTGCGTAGATGTTAATTTACGGTAATGAACAACTTTCGTTATGGAAAACATCCTTGAAGAAAAATCGATCAAGATAAAAAGTATAAGTATTTTGAAAATAAATCGCTTTATTGCGAATTTATAGGTTCTTCATTTTCTCTCTCTTCTGTTCCTCTTTTTCTTTTTTTTTTCGAAAAGAAATAATGAACGCGGAAGACTCGGGAATGCTATGAAGGCATAAACCTTGAAGACTCGTTTAACGAAACGGCTTTTAGATGGATATAATGGATAAGGGATTCTAAAATATTGTAGTAACGTGTTGAATTGTTAAATTAAGAAAATAAAGAATATCAAGAAAAACAGAAGTAAGAGAAGGGAGGAAAAGCTTGAAAATTAAAAGAATAGAAAAAAGAGGAAAAGTAGGAGGGAAAAAAAATGTACCTTAATTTTGTAGCCTTTGTTAGTTCGCATTATGAGATAATGGGCGATTCCGCTTGGTTGAAATTCACGCGGCACTCGGAGCGAAAGGGCGTAACATCCGGGTTTACTGGTACTCTCCCGAACCATGAAGGCTCCTTCCGGTTCCTGGCTCAACACCTCCAACGTTATTTCCCTGAAATCATAAATGGTCGGGGTACCGTCCACGAGTTTGTTAGCTGTGATTGTTATGAAAATATCCAATTTCTACAAACAGAAGAAATTTTATCGCAAAAATGAATCGATCCTATTTTAGAATTTTTGTTATTATTCTTAACACAGTTATTATTTTAATACTAACCTTGGTATACCAGCTTGGAACCAAGGTGCTTTACGTAGTTCTGCTTCCTCGCTGCGATTATTCAAACTGTCCGTTCTCTCTGGTAAAGGAGGAGGTGTTGGGGTCGAGCCATGGGTGCTCCCGTCTGCTGGTACCGAACTACTTGAAGTACTAATTTGCGATCTTCTTTTCGATTTAAATTCCGTTTCCGTTCCCGAACTTGGTGAATTATGTCCTATCCTGTAAACAATTCTCGTATTATTCAAATATATTTGATAACATTAATATAAATTTTTAAAAAATAATCTAGAAAAAAGATAATAAGTGTAAATCGATATAATAATAATAATAACAACTAACAATAGATTATTAAAATAGCGCGCAGACCTGTTATTTTCGATGTTAAAGTTTTTGGCAGTGATGGAAGCATTGATGGTGTTATCGATGGTCTCGGAAGGTTGTATCTTATTATAAGACGGCCTCGTGCCTTCAGAGTCGATGATTGCTTCGTTGATGTACCCACCGGAATGTGGTCTGTTTGAGGGGCTAGTTGGCGTGCTGCTGCCGCTTACGAGTGGACAGCTGTCGTCTTCACCATTTAATCCGAGAACGTCGCGCCCACCAGTTAGGCCCATCGCCAGACGCTTTATCAGCGGTGGCTTGTCCGTCAGTCTCTTATACGAGTTCAACTCCGTTGGCGAGTTGCTCTCATCACTACTTGGCGTACTCTGCTGCGAAATACTTTTCGGCTCATCCTCGTTCGTTATCGGACCGAGGACGTTCGTGAAATTATGCGACGGCCGTAGACCCGGGATGGAATTTGGTGTCTGTTAAAAAAAAACAAATCATTTTTTCTTAATTATCTCTCTTAATATCTTGAAAATATATTTATAAATCTTTATTCAAGATATTGAATTCATTTTAGGTGTTTTTAATGTGTAATATTATTAAACGATGTATTCGAATGGGTGATTAAAATGAGCGGTGTGGTAATTTTATACGTTAAAATAATAAGTTGAAAAAAAAAGAGAACTTATGCAAATACACACTCACACTAATAAATTATTGAATATATTGTATATTATATGTATATTATATAATTGAAATATACATGCTTCTAATTAAATTTATGATTATAGTGTTAGGAACCGCAGTCTATTTTGATTTGTTTTTTGTATAATTTCTCTGTATGCATATGTGTCGACGACTCGAACATAAATAATCGTTTATAATATACTCGCCTGTTGCCGTCGCGTCGTCATTACAGTTAGACCGATGGGGACGAACTAAATGTAGCAGAAATAAGTCGCGTGGTCGATGGCAAAATATAAAAAACATTATAGAGAACAATGAATACGAAAACGTTAGCGAAGTAAAATGTTAGTCTTTTATTAGTTATATTGAATAAGTAGGACGTGTACGCGTATTCCTGCAAATTTCCGAATACAATTTTCCCGAATATGGAGTATCAAACAAGCAAGTATTACTATTTTATTTCGACTTACATGTTTTTACATTTGATATCACTCTCGTGCTGGTTGTATCATACAAATTTATTTAAAATTCATTCATCTTGTTGGAACGTAATTATTTAGCGAGACTAACAATAAGTCATCGTACAATATTTTTGCGAATTTTTTTTTAAAGATAACGGTTCTCACCGGTTATGAAAACGTCGAAGAATTATCCGATAGTCGCGTTCGGGTAAATCGTGATAGCGGAACAAGAGGGGTAGAGGAAGGGGGGAGTGATACCTTTGTTAGAAAGGAAATAGAGTTCGGGCACCCACCTTTACGCTGGCTAGTCGCAACGTGGGCGAGCCGGCGCTGCCGAGCTGTACGTTCATGTCCGCTGCGGACGAACCGCTTCCAGTTCTGGACGTGGGCGACGTCCGACTTTTCAGCCACGAATTCGAGGACGAATTCTTGCAGCCGCCTCCACTCCCGGCGATCGAATTGTCGCCGGACAAAGATTTGTTCTGTTGGTAAGAAAACAAAAAATATTCTCTTATTAAAATAGAGTCTAAATAAAAAATTTTTCGGTTTTTTCCTCTTGTGTTTCTGGAAACGTTGATTCGATCGACTTCGACGAACATAGAATTTTTTTTTTTTTTTTTTGTATTAATGTATATAGGTCTATATAAATGGAGAATTGTTTTCGAATGATTTAGTATTAATTGTGTTGTTGTTAATTGTTTAAATAATTAGTCGTTTAAAATTCAATTTTGGTATTTAATTTTTTTTTTAGTGAAATATCAGTAATTCCCAACGAGGAACATTTTGGTTACATTTGTTTATTGTTTTCGAAAGAATTCTTGTACGAATGAGCTAAATTCAGTTTGAGAGAGTACGTCATGGGAGATGATAAAATAATAGAATGGAAAAGAGGACGATTTTACAGTGCTTCGCGTGGAAATCAACTCGGTTGTATGAATAATTAAAGACTCGGAGAAATTTACGTGTCCCTGGGAAAACACAAAAGTCCTTCGTGAGGAAAGAAAGAAAAGGATTGAAAAAAGAAAAGAGGATAAATTTTTCAATGGTTGGACGTGAGGAATACAATCCTCGTAGTTTTATCGTCTCGTCTGTTGTTGTAGTCGTTGTTGGCGTCGTTGTCTATGGGAAATTTACTTGCCAATCACGAATTCGGAAAAGTCTCGTGGTATATCAAAGAAAGAGATGTTGCGGGCATCCCCGTTGATTCAACGTGAACTCAGAAAACAAATGCTCAAATATTCGAGGATCGTTTCGGAATCTGATGATTCCGAAGAAGAAATTTTCCCGGAGAGAAGAACCGGATAGGCCGCGAGAAATGAACTGACCGTTTTATTCGGAAATACGACGCTGCCGTGGGACTCGGCTCGAAT